CGGGCCGGCCGCTCGCCTGGCTGTGCCCGACGGCAGCCATTTTAACTTTTAAAGGAGCTGCACCACCGCCTCACCGGGGCCCTTGAGGCCCAGGTCCTCGAGGGCGTGGGGGTGGACGCGTCTCCGAGGACAGGTCACCTCCGGCCTTCTGGACTCCGAGTCCCCGGGGTCTGGCCCCGGGCTTATTTATTGACTGTCTTTCCCCCAGTCCTCAAGAGGAGTGGGAGGCAGAAGCCGTCCCTCAGCGAGCCACATTCCGGGACTGGCAGACCTCCATCCCCTCTCCCTTCCAGCCAAGCTGCCTTAACTCGCCCTCGGGGCCGCTTCCACGGACCGAGCCCCGGGCGGGCCGCACGGCGGGCGGGCCGGCGCGCGGACAGACGTGGCTGGGGCCACGCAGCGTCGTGCCGCGTCTCGGGCCTCCCGGGACTGGGACGTGCCTCCTCCTACTGTGTAGGAGCCTCCGCTCCCCAATACAGCTGTGTCCCTGAGCTGCTGCCTGGCTACTCGCTGTGGGGCGGGCACGGTGCGTGGGGTCGGTCGGCGCCAGCGTGGGGCGCCTTCGCCCAGAACCTGCCTTCACCTGGTCGAGCTCTCCCCAGCAGCGGGAAGGCTGCGGCCCCACAGGGCCTGCCAGCCTGGTTTGCCGAAGGCGGCACGCGGAGGAATGGTGTGTGGGGACGAGCCAGGACCCAGGGGACGCGCCGCAGGGCCAGGGGGCCAGGGGGCTGGGGAAGCACGCGAGCACGTGCCTGGCTCGAGATCGGTTCTACGGGGCGGGGAGGAAATTTTGGAGGAATAAAATGAAGCTTCGGCGAGACTTGAGTTTTAGATCAGGAAATCTTGTCCCAAAGAGAATTGGGCAGAAAGAGGTTGGATCGCTTGAGGGGTAAAGCTGCGGGAAACAGCGAAGCACTCGGCCCTGCTGGCAGCAAAGGTTTCCTGGAGTGCTTCCCCTTCAGGTAGCGGCAGGGGAGGTTGCCAGGGCGTGTTTCGTGGCGCGCATGCGTAGCGACGCTCCGGCCAAGCGCCGCCGGAGCCCGCTCGCCCGCGCTCGGCCTGCGCGTGCGCACGGCGGTGGTTCCCTTTTTCTGGCTGGTGTGGGTTGCAGATACCTGTTCATTACTTTGGGTACCAATGGGAGGGACGAATACCCATCTGCCTCACCCACACCTTGCGTTGAGGACAGTTAAGGCTTGTGCGGGTGGTGGCTGCTTTTGCGGATTTGCAAGTCAGGTTTTTCTTCCGCGCGTGGCCGCAGCGTCCGCCCGGTTTGCGCCCTAGTCCATTCCTGCCGGCGCCGCCTGGAGGCCGCACTCAGCCCTGCAGCCCCTGGAAGCCTCCCCGGGGGCTCACCGTTCGCCCCACAGCTGCTCTTTTGATTCGATCGGTACTGGATTTAACCCAGGGTGCTTGACCCCTGAGCCTCGTCCCCAGCCCCTTCTTTTCTTTTACTGAGAGACCGCGATCTTCCCGCTGCAGCCGCTGGGGTTGCAGGCGTGCTCCGGCTTCGCTTGCTACCAAATGTTCGTGGCGGGAAACTTGGGAGAAGAGTCTCCTGGAGAGAGCGGAGCTTGCTTCTGCTTCCCGGTTTACTACTTGAGACCTCCCTTCTGCCCTAGGCCCCTGTTCCCTCCTCCCTGAGCACCAGGTCGGGGGATGGCTGCTTCTTCATCCGCTCACGCTTAGGGTCTTCGAACCTTTGCGATCTGGTTTTTAACTGAGCAAGGCTTTCCCTTTGCATCCTCATAACTTCACTTGTACGTTTAGCCCTCAAGGTGGGTTTTTTTTTTTTTTTTTGGGGGGGGGGAACCAGGGATTGAACTCGGGCACTCGACCACTGAGTTATGTCCCCAGTCCTATTCTGTATTTAGAGACAGGATCTTACTGAGTTGCTTAGTGCCCCCGCTGTTCCTGAGGCTGGCTTAGGCTGACTTTGAACTCCTGAGCCGCTGGGGTAACAGGCTTAACCTTCAAGGGTGTGTGTGTGTGTGTACACCCAGGGCCTTGTGCAGGCCAGGCAGGCACTCTACCAACTGAGCTATACCCCAGCCCAGCCCTCAAGGTTTTGATATGTCCTCTGAGAGTGAGATATTCCTCATGACGCAGTTAGGCTTGTTTGGACAAATATAGTTGTCCTCCAGAGTTTAACTTCTCCTCCTGTGTGTGTGTGTGTGTGTGTGTGTGTGTGTGTGTGTGTGTATTGGGGATGGATTCTGCCACTGAGCCACATCCCAGCCTCCCGATTTTTAAAATTTTTTGAGACAATTTCTTGCTAGGTTGCTGGGGCTAACCTCAAACTTGCAAACCTCCTGCCTCAGCTTTCAGAGTTGCTGAGATTCCAGACGTTGACCACCCTGTGCCCTTTATGCTTGGTGTTGTTGCACCAGAGTGGAGTGATCTTTTAGGACTCAGTTCTCCCCTTCTTGCATGCCTTACTTAAGCCAAGATGCTTTGGGGCCATTGCTAGTGCCCTAGATATTGAGGAGAAAGGAATGGAGGATCTTTCCAGTTACCTGACTTCATTAACTTTCAAACCAAGATGTTAAAGGATGAAGAAAAAAAAATGTGACTGTAGCCTTTGGAAGTTCTCAGAGGAACAAATTTCACAAATACAGTTCTTGCCCTGAAAGTGGTCATAAGCAAAAGGGATAAATGATCCTTAGGTTTAAATATAGTCCCAAAAGAGAAGTACAGCCATCCCTCTGTGTCCAGGGGGATTGGTTCCAGGACCTCCCTATATCAAAATATGGGGCTGGAGTTGTGGCTCAGTGGTAGAGCGCTCCCCTAGCTCATCTGAAGCACTGGGTTTGATCCTCAGCACCATATAAAATAAAGGTATTGTGTCTTTCTACAACTAAAAAAAAAATATTTTATTTTTTAAAATATTTAAAAAAATATGCAGATACTGAAGTATAAAATGGCATAGTATTTACATATAACTGCCACATAGCCTCCCTTATACTTTAAATCATCTTGACTACTTATTATACTTAGCACAGTGTAAATGGTTGTTAGGTAATAATGATAAGGAAAAAAAAAAGTCTGTACATGTTCAGTACAGAGGTAATTGCCCCTCAAACATTTTCATCCTGAAGTTGGTTGAATCTGTGTGTGGAACCAACCCATGGATATGGAGGGCCCACTGTACATATAATAGAAATTTAATCTTGTAACTGCAGATAGCAGCAACTTCCAGGTTAAAGTCCTGGTTGTAGTTTAATTGTAAAAAATGTTCAGTTATTAGTATCTGTAAGAGTATGGTGACTTCTTTGCCAAGAGTGTCTAAGTTGAATTCTTACAGATAGTGGAAGCAACTTTGTTGCAGTGAGAGCAACAGTCCTGGGATTCTACCATTTGTTTTGTATGTGACCTTGGCAATTCAACAGCAGTTCAAAGCCTGTTTCTTTTGTAAGGAATGGAAAGAACATATACCAATGGGGATTTGTAAAGCATCCTAAAAATACAGGTTTAAATTGTTTAGTGGGAAACAGTTATTTGCCCAAAATAAAGTAGGCCATTACCAAGTATGTGATTCATTAATACTCATGAGACACCTCTTTCTGACAGACAGTAGTAATAAATTAAGGGGATGAATTAAAATAAATAATTATTGCTGACAAAGAGAGGTAAACATAACCTCGATTAAGGAATCTGCTGATGGTTTTTAAAAATCAAAATATTATCTCAAACTTTGTCTTTAGAAAACCCAGAATGTGCCATCAGGAGGATAGAGTCCTTTAAATATTTATTTCTTTTTTTCATCCTTGGGGATTTCTAAGCTGATTTCTCAGAAGCATCCTAGGAGGTTATAGAGAAACCAGGGCCCCAGCAGGCAGTCCATCTGCTTATGTAAGGCTTTGGGGACCTGAAACTCAAAAGGTTCCATAGTCACAGAGCTCAGAAAGCTGTTTAGCATCTTGAGTTCTTTGGGGGCTAACTCACAGGGGCCTGAGCTATTATTGTCACTCAGATTTGTGGCTCCTTGATGCCACCACCACACAGGTGAGTCATTCTTTGCTACTTAATCCAGCAGTTGACCCTTTAGAGGGGTTGACTCATAAGAATTTAAGGTTATAAACTAGCTGGAATAGGGTCTTGCTAAATTGCTGAGGCTGGTTTTGAACATTGTTCCTCCTGTCTCAGCTTCTTCTTTTTTTTTTTTTAAGAGAGAGAAAATTTTTTAAATATTTATTTCTTTTTTAGTTCTTGGCAGACACAACATCTTTGTTGGTATGTGGTGCTGAGGATCGAACCCCGGGCCGCACGCATGCCAGGCGAGCTGGCTACCG